AGGGCTGGGATTATGGCTCAGTGGTAGAATGCTTGCCTAGTATGTGTGAGGCACTGGGCTCGATCCTCAGGACCCACATAAAAATAAAAATAATGAAAAATAAAGGTATCTACAACAACAAAAAATATTTAACCTTGTATCCAAATGATACTTCAAAAAAGGAAGGAAAAAGTCAGGAACAGTACCACATGCCTGTAATCCCAGCTACTGGGGAGACTGAGGCAGGAAGATGGCAAGTGCCTTGGCAACTTAGTAACACCCTGTCTCAAAATTTAAAAATAAATGAAAGGGTTGGAGGTATAGCTCAGTGGTAGAGCGCCACGGGGTTCAATCCTCAGTACTGTAAAAACCAAAAAACAAGCAACTAGGTTTTTTTTTTAAAGCTTAGAAAAGTCTAAAATTCTAGATATTTGGCACAAAGCTAGTAGGAACTTTTTTGAGACACAAAAATGCAAAACGAAAAAAAGGTTTTAATTAATAAGGGCTACTTAAAGCTGGGGTTGTGGCTCAGTGGCGCTGGTCTTGCATGTGTGAGGCACTGGGTTCGATCCTCAGCACCACATAATAAATAATTTTTCAAAAAGTGGGGGGGCTACTTAAGCCAGGTGTAGTGGCTCACGCCTGTAACCCCAGCAGCTCCAGAGGATGAAGCAGAAGAATCACAAGTTCAAGGCCAGCCTAAGCAATTTAGTGAGGCCCTGTCTCAAAATATAAAAATAAAAAAAGCTGGGAATGTGACTCAGTGGTAAAGCACCCCTGGGTTCAATCCTCAGTTCGGATCCCCCCCAAAAAGTACTACTTAATGGATGGTTCTACTTATGCAGATATGCTAAGCAGCTGTCTTCATTCCTCAGGAAAGAGAAAAGTTTTTTAAATGTACTATAAAGATGATGTAAAATACATAAATATGAAAGGCAGATCACTCATGTGTCGTATTATGGTGAAGCAAAGGGGGAAGAAAACCACAGAACTGATTATAAGAATTTTTCAGGTCAAAACATACTTATTAGTCTTAACATACAGTTTAAATTAAAACAGGGCAAAAATTTAGTGTGTTCTCAATATCTTCAAGAGTGATTAAAAACCAGGGTTAAAATCACCTCCCAATCAGCCATTCAACCTTATTATCCCCCTAAGAGAACAAAAGTTCAAAATTCTATAATAGGATTCTTTTGATATAGAAATTTACAGACACAAAGGATAGCTAAAGGACATTTTAGCTACTTGAGCTTCTCTCCTTCTCTAGAAATAACTCCTCCAAGTATTTCATAAAGAAGTACACTTACTTCAAGAGCAGGAAATGCAAAGGCTCTCTGCTCAGTGGCCACTGCCAATTTTTATTAACACTAAAGTAAGTTCAGTGTCTACTAAGCATTTCAGTCAATGTAAGGCACCCAAACAGCCATAAAAGTTGTTTCATGTATTTTAAGAGAACTTAAATAATGTTAAATACTTTAAAAGGAAGCCACTAGGTAGGTCTGGACCACAACCTTCAATACCCATTTCCCCGGGCTTCAGCTTGGCAGTGAAATAGTAGGGACAAAGGGTAAATGCATTCCTCAGCCTCGGTTTACAGCCTCACAGCCATTAAAAGATTCCATCTTAACTCAGTTTGTGCATTTATCTACCCTCAAAGAGCGCAAAGTGTATCAGCCATGGTGCTTTCACTTAATTCATTCTTATCACAGGGCAAAGATGCTTCCAATTAACATTCCTAAACCCCTACCCCTACAAGTAACCAATAAAACTAGTTCCTTTCTTTTGTTCTAGTGAGCCACAGCCTGACACTTTCTGGTCAGAGCTGTCCCTAATAAAGGCTTTTTTTTTTTTTTTTTGGCCTAATAAAGGCTTTGCCTGTATATTCGTACTAGCGGGACTCGATTTTATTTCTATGATCAAGTCAAAATTCCCTGTGTTCAGCATCAAGAGGGCCATTAGGCTAGTTTTTAGAAAGCCTTTCCAGACTTTGCTCTTCTGTTCAGTAGTCTTTCTTCCGTCACTCCACTCTACTCTGCTTCTCCCATATGTATTTGAAAGATAATTCTGAAAAAGTCTGCTGCATCGCTTTCGTTAAGATCACATCACTTTTTAAAATACTGCGTTCTCCAGGCTGTTGGCACCTCTTCAGGCACCTTTCTCATTAAAGAGCAGTTGGCATATAGAATCCTCTCCCTTTCACTGCAGGTCAGAACATACAAGTTTACTTTTTTCCCCCATCGTGAACCTAAGAGTTCCTGAAACGCCACGATGCTCAAGCCCTGAGCCCCGAGACTCCCAGGTTAAGTGACCTGCGCCAATTTCGATGAACAAACTGGGGTCCCGGAGGTAAGTTCCCGCCTGAGTCACACAATGAGCCGGTCTGCCTGGGTCTGCCCGGGGCTCGCCCGCACGCGCCCAGGCTCCGCTCCACAGTCCAGCCCCTCCGCTCAGCAGGCGCCGCATCTATGCCGGGTCCCATTTGCCCCTCGGCGATCACCCACCCGCGAGGCCACTTCCTCCTCTTCGCTCAAGAGCATGTCCTCAGCTAGCTCACTCGAGCTCTTCCCTCGGACTCTGAGTCGCTTCCTCTGAAACCTCCTTTGGAGATTCCCTACTTCTCCTCAGCTCCCGCGCACGCACCCTCCGTCCCATTCCTCACCGATCTCTTTCTCGTTGACCCTCGGGGGAAAGCTGGCCATCTATGGGGAACCGTCTGATTCCGGGGATACGATGCAGATGCAACGACAGAGAAGGGAAAGGCGAACGCTGAGGGGCGTGACGCGAGCTCGTTCCCTCCCGAGTCCGGGAACTGAGGGGTGGGGCAGGGGTGGCCGCTTCGGCTTTTGCTGGCTGCCCCGGGAAAGCACCGGAAGGCTCGGACCAAACTACGGAGTCTAACACAGACAAAAGACCCTTGTGCTCTGGCTCCCGCCTACAGATGATAACAGTAACCTCGACGCCGTCGACGCAAACGAGACACTAAGACAAGATGGCGGGCGGCACGGGTGATATCTGGGAGGCGGGGGCGTGGTCCGGTGACGTCAGCGCCACCGGCTCCTCCTCCAGACGCACGGGACGTGACGGCCCGGGCCTGGATCGCGCGGGCGTTGTCTGGAGCCGAGGTGTAGGGTGGGGTCGGAAGAGTGCGGAGGCGGAGGAGCAGAAAGCTGAAAAATGACCACCCGACTGCCTCTAACCTGCCATTTATAAGTCGACGTGCCTTTGGAAAAGGAAAGCCAATTGTGTAATTCATATTAACCCGCAGCTTAAAGATTGCTTGGAATTTAATCTGGCTGAGCCGAAAGAACAAAAAAGACATTTAAATTTTTAATTCAATTTTGCAACCTCCCTAACCCGCCATGTGCTGGGGAACTGGAGGTTGCATTGATGAAAGAGGATGAGAATTCACTTCTTTGTGCTCAACCTGTCCCGCCCCGACTGTGCTGACCTGAGCCAACCGGTTTTGGAAGGCCCGAGGTGGCAGGGAGTAGGGAACCGGGAAGAGATTGCGCCTCACTGCGGGCCCTCACTGGGCTGCCTTTGTTTGACCAGCCCCAGTAGTCAGGCCTGCAGCAGAGCCGGTGGTCAGAGTCACTGCCGCTGATCAAGGCGGAGCACTCTTTCTGGGCCTCTGAGAGTTATCTAATGAATACCACATCAGAGCTGATAAAGGTGTCTACTAGATACCAAGCGTTTTCCGGTTTATGGTGACATATTTGCATTTTGATGACCCTAGTGCTTACTCAAAACCTTTTTTCCAAAGCAGGGCATATAAGGCTGGGAATTTCAAATATGTGGCAGATACTCTTGGGAGAAGGAGCTGTATAGCCTAACTCCTCTGAGACATCGCAAATGACAACACATGGCACAAGTCTGCTTGTTCTTTGTGTGAGTGTATAATTCTTCAAATAGTGAGATGTTTAATTTCACTACCTTACCCCATCCCACCCCTTACTGGGAGTAGAACCCAGGGCAGCTTTACCCCTGAACTGCATCCCCAACCCTTTTTAATTTTATTTTGAAACATGAGCTCACTAAATTGCCCGGGTTGGCCTAGAAATTGTGATCCTTCTGCCTCAGCCTCCAGAGTAGATGATATTACAGGAGAGTGCCATCAGGCTCTGTGTTGTGTGTGTGTGTGTGTGTGTGTGAGAGAGAGAGAGAGAGAGAGACAGACAGACAGACAGACAGACAGACAGACATTGTTACCTTCAGTCAACACATTTATTGAAACCTTATTCTGGAGCTAGTTTCTCTAGATTATTCAGAGTAGAACAAAAGAAAAAAATCAGTGCAGTCCCAATTAAGTCTTTTAACCTATTTACTTGTCCTGTACCATACAAGTTCATGGAAAATACCAACTCTCAAGTTTCTAGTAGTGAATTATTTTGATGACTTTTTTACAATTGTTTAATTCCCACTTTACTTGCCAGAATACTTCCTGACCATTTGCTCAACTAGCTAAGTACCAGAGTGCAATGAAAAACAATTTTGTGATTTGTATATTCATTGGTGAGAATATGTAACATTTTGGGGGTGTCTGTGTTACATGTTAGGCACTCTGCCACATAAGTGCTTTTATGGATTAATCCAATTAATGCTCCCAACCGTAAGAATAATATATTATTGGTCATATTCATATTTCATAGACACTAAATTGAGAACTGTTAAAAAACTAGTGACAGATGCTAGATTTGAGCCCAGACTTGGGTAACTGCCCTTCTTGCATGTTACCTTATTTCTCATCAATGAAATCTAATCTGAAAAGCATACATATATTTGGCCTTTCATTTCTGTTTGTTATTTTAATGTCATGTTGGAGTTCTTCATAGTTCTGTCCTTGGCTCACAGCTATTTTCTTTTTCCATCCCTTCTCTGTGTAATGACAACTTCTCTTTGTCAGTTCAACTACCAGCTCTATGTGGACATGCTCAAGTCCAGACCTGAGTTCACTTGTGCTTAAAATTTACATATTTACCTTTGAGGATTAGCTCAGTGATAGAGTGCTTCTCTGGCATTGGTATAATACTAGGTTCCATCCCCAACACCTTTAAAAAAAAATTACAAGCAAGCACAGTGGCACAATCTGTAATCACAGCTGCTCAGGAGGCTGAGGCAGGAAGATTGCAAGTTCAAGGCCAGCCTGGGCAATTTAGTAAGATCTAAATTTTAAAAATTAAAAGGGTTAGGGATGTGGCTCAGTGGTAGGGTGTCTGTGGGTTCAATCCCCAGTATCATTAAGGAAAAAAATCACATATCTAAACATAATAAATGTCAACATGACAAAATTGAGCACATCATCTCTCCCAACCTGTTCTACCTCTTATAATTCCTACTCCAGTGAAGATGCCCACACAATCACTGAAGCCAGAGGGCCAAGTCAGATGCCCCATTCGCCCTCCACACCATGTGGAATCAATCAATCCACAAGTCCCACCAATATTTTTTCATTAGCTATTCTGGAGTGTAGTCTTTGTTTCAGCTGAGCTGCACTGTTATGTTAAGGTCTTGTCATTTCATTTCTCTTAAAAATCCCTTATAACCCCACACACTGAAAAAAAAAAAAAACACCATTGATATCTTTGTGTGCTTCCTTCTACTTTAAAAAATGTACAATTATGTCATGTCCTTGGACAAATTTTTTAAACTCCCCAGGGTTTATTTAATCTTCTCATCTATAAAATAGGGCAAGTAATAAACATCTACTTCAGTTTTAAAGACTACTACTATATTTACAACAGAGCCTTTTTTTTTTTTTTTT